CACCCCGCGTTCACCATGTCCCCCGGCACCCCGCGTTCACCATGTCCGCTCTCCCCGGCACCCCGCGTTCACCATGTCCGCTCTCTCCCGGCACCACCCCGCGTTCACCATGTCCGCTCTCCCCGGCACCCCGCGTTCACCATGTCCGCTCTCCCCGGCACCCCGCGTTCACCATGTCCGCTCTCCCGGCACCCCGCGTTCACCATGTCCGCTCTCCCCGGCACCCCGCGTTCACCATGTCCGCTCTCCCCGGCACCCCGCGTTCACCATGTCCGCTCTCCCCGGCACCCCGCGTTCACCATGTCCGCTCTCCCCGGCACCCCGCGTTCACATGTCCGCTCTCCCGGCACCCCGCGTTCACCATGTCGCTCTCCCCGGCACCCCCGCGTTCACCATGTCCGCTCTCCCAGCACCCCGCGTTCACCATGTGCGCTCTCCCCGCACCCCGCGTTTACCATGTGCGCTCTCCTCCAGTACACACAACATGGAAATGCAATTATTTTAGTAAATATAAACTGCTAAATACCTTTTCTCATCAGCAGTATAGAGCAGTCTTGTGACTTGTATCAGTGTCCAGCAGAGCACTGGTTAAAGCTTGTAGGAGGAGTTTTAGTTTCCAATTGTTTTTATTGAAAATGTACAATAAGATGAAAGAAAACAAGACACCAAATGAGAAGGTTGTGTTTCTTGTACTCCTATTCGTACAGATGCTTCAATACAGAACGATTAATCAAAGTAAAACATTCCCTGAGGCAGGCAATTAAACATTTCTATGAAGAGTCATCTAAGCGCAGGGGTATACTCTAGTGGAACCTCAGTAGCAGGAGTTTTCATTCTCTCCTATGAGGATGCAGAACCCCTGACCTTTCTGTCTGGACAGTGCTGATTGGGAGAGTGCATGTGATCAGCACAGGGCCAAAGGAAAAAAAAAAACTCTGGCAATACACACCAAACTGAGCATGTCCAGCTTGTCCCCAATGCTCTGTTCGGCCAGCAGATGGATTGGGGACAGTAGAAGAAGGGGAGGATCAGAGAAGACAAGATCAAACATCCTTTTTACACAATGCAGAGGATTAACCCCTTAGGTCCCACAGTGAGTATAACAAGCATGCTTTACTGCATCTACAGACTGATTGTACTGTTGTGGGTTTAGTAACACTTTAATACTCACTGCGGTGCTTCTGGATCTTCCCAAAGAAGGACTTGGCTTGCTAATGTCTGCTGGCAGATTGGAAAATCCAAAGTGCAGAGTTCCCAGATCTGCTGGAATATGTTATAATACTTGAGAAAGAAATGAATCATTAATTCATGAATATTAATTAACTGCTCAACTCTTTTTCTTTTACTTTTTCTCTCCCCTTTCTCTGCTTCTGTGCTTCCTTGGTTCCATATTTCCTATTTTTTCTTTGTCTACCTGTTTTTTTTTCTTTTTCTCTTCTCTCTTTTCGGTTTTCTTTCTCTTTTTTTCTCTTTTCGGTTTTCTTTCTTTTTGCTTCTCTTTCGCTACCTTTTTTTCCTTTTCTCTCTTTCCCCCCTTTTCTCTTTTTTTTTTTTTTTTTTTTTTTTTTTTTTTCTTCCCCTCTTGTTTTCTTAGTTTGCTGGATTTTCAGCTGAGTCTATGTGTGAGAGGATCCTGGACAGTCACTGTTCTCTTCTAATAACAGCAGGTAAACTGAGCAAGTGACCACAATATTATTGCAGTTATGGTTTTGTATATTTTTTTTATTTATATTCAAGATTAAAAACTGTAGCACATTGGAAACACTGGTAGTCGCTGCCTTGCCGTTATACAGACATGTACCACCACAGAGGATGTCCTAAGAAATTCGACAAGGTCTGGTCAGAATGATGAATCTACGGCTCTGATGCCGGATACTTCCGGATTTTAATAATAATTTGTTTTGTGCCTTGATCTTTGTGGCGTGTGTGAGGGGAGGTTGGGGTGTATGACCTGATACAGCGCCGAACGCCATTAGCTGTGTAAAGTCACGTTTAAAAACATGAGTTTTTCAGCTTTTTTTTAGCGTTTTGCTGCGTTTAGCATGTTTTTTCGCGTTTGCAGTTCTTAACATTTTTTTGTTTTCTCCCAAAAAAAAATTTTTTTTTTTTGGTCAAAAAAATTGGCCATAACACTGGTTTGCAGCGTTTTACCACATTTTTCAGCGTTATCGCATTTTTCCAGCCAAAAACATCCTTGTCAAAAAACGTTGATTACAGTCTGTGTGTGTGTGTATGGACACATAGGATAACATGCCGGGGATGGACACATAGGATAACATGCCGGGGATGGACACATAGGATAACATGCCGGGGATGGACACATAGGATAACATGCTGGGGATGGACACATAGGATAACATGCCGGGACGGACACACGGGATAACATGCCGGGGACACATAGGATAACATGCCGGGGATGGACACACACGCCGGGGACGGACACACGGGATAACACACGCCGGGGACGGACACACGGGATAACACGCGGGGATGGACATAGGATAACATGCCGGGGAAGGACGCACGGGATAACACGCCGGGGACGGACGCACGGGCTAACACGCCGGGGACGGACGCACGGGCTAACACGCCGGGGACGGACGCACGGGCGAACACGCCGGGGACGGACGCACGGGCTAAACACGGGGACGGACGCACGGGCGAACACGCCGGGGACGGACGCACGGGCGAACACGCCGGGGACGGACGCACGGGCGAACACGCCGGGGACGGACGCACGGGCGAACACGCCGGGGACGGACGCACGGGCGAACACGCCGGGGACGGACGCACGGGCGAACACGCCGGGGACGGACGCACGGGCGAACACGCCGGGGACGGACGCACGGGCGAACACGCCGGGGACGGACGCACGGGCGAACACGCCGGGGACGGACGCACGGGCGAAACACGCCGGGGACGGACGCACGGGCGAACACGCCGGGGGGGGGTTTACTAGCTGTAGAAAAAAAACATCAAAAGCCAAGAACAGCCGCTGTAAAAACGTCCCGTGTGCATGAGGGCTTACACAGTGGCTAAATGGTTTGCACTTCCGCCTGGCAGTACTCGGGTCGTTGGTTCAAATCCCAACCACGGCACCACCTGCCTGGAGTTTGCATGTTCTTCCTGTGCTTGTGTGGGTTTCCTCTGGGTACTCCGTTTCCTCCCACACTCCAAAGACATGCTGGTAGGTGAATTGGCTTCTGTCTAAATTGTCCCTAGTATGTGTATGTATGAATGTGAGTTAGGGAGATTGTACGCCCCCTTGAGGTTAGGGACCTTAGATTGTACACCCCTTGAGGGTTAGAGACCTTAGATTGTACGCCCCTTGAGGGTTAGGGACTGATGTGAATGTACAATATATATGTAAAGTGCTGTGTAAATTGACGGCTATATAAGTACCTGAAATAAATAAATAAAATAAGTCTTGATTGTATCTTGAGCCACACACATATAGGATTGTGTTCTTTTTATTTCCTTGTTTGCAGTTTTATGTTCACTTTTTGATAGTTGCCATTTTTTGAAGCAGTGAGGCCTTCTTTTTATACTTGCGAGCGTCCGCCCCGTGAGGGTGTCGTACTGTCTGTTGCTCTTTTTCTGTACTGGGGTTTCAATAAAAATTACAAAAAAAAAAAAAAAAAAGCCTTTTAGTCCGGTATATTTTAATAGTTTGAGAGGTATACAAAATAGTTCTATGTTGTATCATTTGAGAGTTGCTGAACTTGTTTCTTAAACTAAATTGTGATTGGAATTCGTTTTAAAAATTGGTTGTTTACTTTGTTAGCGCTTAGCGTGATGCGTGGCCCTTCATTCTGAATGGTGATTTAGCATACCTTTTATAGGGAGGTGTGCCGCACTGCTTTGCACTGTCAAAAAATTAAGGCCGTAGGTCTGATTGCTGGACCTTCTGAGCTGCATGACACTGTGAGTGGGCTGCCTAACGCAGCGCATGTTGATGTGCAAAATAAAAAAAATAAAGGCGTGTGCTATTAGTGTGCTGCACATCAATGGTCATGTATGAACCTAGCCTTAATTAAAACATTTAGCCCTTTTTTTTTTTTTTTTTTTTTTTTTTTTTTTTTTTTGGCATAAGGTCTGGGAAGACTTTTTTTATAAAAATTTCTCATTCTCTATAGATGGATTTTTTCGTGGAGATAAATTAATTAACCTGAAGGTGATCGCAGATGAAGCACTTAAAAAATGCGCAGAAAAGTGAGTACTGAATTTAATTAAACATATGCTTGGCACAGCTATACAGTTGACATGTGATCTGCTGTCATTGGTCACAGCGGTCACATGACACTGGCAACGGGCCTGTGTAATGATATGTCATCGGCTGTGTCCCGTGGATACAATGGATAGCTTCCTGTCATGCCATCCATTGTATACTATTGTGTTGTTGGCTGTGACTGGTCAGAGCAGTCACATGTTATAGACAGGGCCATTCACAGCCCATCTGTATCATGTGATCAGCTTTGCCCAATCACAGTAAAAGACTGAATTAATCAGTTTTCGTTCAGTAACAAAGATTGCAAATATCAATGAAATACATCGGTATTAGCAATCCTAATGTGTTAAAAAAAAGAAAAATCCTGATCACTTACCCAGAGTAGTTCAATGTTACTATGGTAACATTGTATTGCTTTGGTCACCGTGTGCTGAAAAAAAAAAATGGTAAAAAAAAAAAATAATGTAATAAAAAATAGAAAAATTTGAAAAAATATAAATTAAATTATTTTTATTTGTATTATTTTCAATAAAGAAATGTAGTAGAATACATTATGATCTAAATTTTTGAAGAAATGTTATTTGCAAAACTTTGTAACCGAAACGAAGAAAAGTTTTTTTTGTTTTTTTTTTTTGTTTTTTTTTCAAAAGTTTTTCAGGTGTTTTTTGTTTTATTTAGCAAAAAATAAACTCAGTGGTAATTAAATACCACCAAAAGAAAGCTCTAATTGTGTGAAAAAAATAACAATTTCATATGGGCACAGTGTTGCATGACCGCGCAATTGCCATTCAAAGTGTGACGGCGCTGAAAGCTGAAAATTGGCCTGGGCAGGAAAGGGGGCATAAGCGCCCGGTATTGAAGTGGTTAAGAGAACCAGTCATGATCAGGTTTGTGCAGTTACTGGAATTTCCATTGTTAATTGATTACAGTAGTGAAGTCCTGTGGAGAAGTATGGCTATCTCTTTGGCAAACCGTAGTTGAAACGATATTCTTTCTGCCACGTTCCATATTGATGGGGGAATTCCCCCCCCCCCCCCCCGCAGCTCTATTGTAGCTCCCTGAGCTATGGCAGTTGCTACCCCGTCTACTACCAGGCCTTATTAATATTAATGCGGTAGTAAATTGTTGAAAGGAAAGAAAGAGAGAAAAAATTTCTCCCTGCAAGGTAAAGGCATAATGTGCTAACATGGGGGCACCCAAGCAGGCTCGCTCCAGAACCACTGTTTTGCCTGTCCATTCACACACAGAGCTGTGGCTCGGTCCGCCCTCTCTCTCCCTCCTCATTGGCTCACTGGTTTTGATTGACGACAGCAGGAGCCAATGGCCGTCTCAGCCAATGAGGAGGGAGAGCCTAGGCTATCATGGGCATTGCTGGATCACGATGGGACTTGGGTAAGTATTAGGGGCGCTGCTGTTTGTTACCTTCATGCTTAGATTGCATGAAGGTAACAAACCTTGAGCCATTACAACCGGGAAAGTAATCGGCCAAATTTGTCCTGCTGATTTTTGCGGCAATGATGGACAAATCTGCTGATCTTTTTCTGATTTTAAAAAAATGCGCATGAGCAGTGACATGAAAGAAGAGGGAAAAGAAGAAAAGGGAAAAAAATAGAATATGAAGGAGAAGAAGAAATAGAATATGAATAAAAAGAAGAAATAGAATATGAAGAAGAAAAAGAAGAAATAGAATATGAAGAAGAAACAGAATATGAATAAGAAGAAGAAAAAAAAAAAGAATTTCAATCCGATATTATAGTTGACATTTAAAAGTATAGCAACATTGTATCTATTTGTATCCAAATAGAAACATCTGTATCTGAAATGGATACAAATAGATACAATGTTGCAACTTTTTCTTCTTCATATTCTATTTCTTCTCCTTCTGCATATTCTATATAATTGCCGGCCGTAGACGGGATGAAAATCAGCCAATTTTTTTTTTTTTTTTTCTACCTACGGTGGTAACGTCGGCTGATCGACTGATTTTTCGTTTTTCTAAAAAAAAAGACCGGCTGGTTACCTACATTTTTTGGGTCAGAGCCAGGTTCCCTTTACTCAGGAGAGGTTGTCGGGTCAGGATCAATCGGGCAGATCAGGTACAGGGACAGGGAGCAGGCAAGCGGATAGTCAAGGGATAAGCTGGGTCGGTGAGTTCAATCGTCAGGTCATTCAGGTAGGCAACAGAGTCAGGATACAAGGCCACAAACACAGAACGTAGAGACCAGAAGGCATAGGTTTAAGTGCAGCAGGGGTTTAAATAGCCCACCTGGGCACCCAGCGTCGGCGCATAGATGTACGCCGATGCGAAGCTTCCTTATCCTGACACCGGGTTTGGTGGTTGCCAGGAGAACGTTACTTGCCTGACTGCATTGTGCCAAGTGTAAAGTTTGGTGGAGGGGGAATTATGGTGATCCATTGCTGGATCACGATGGGACTTGGGTAAGTATTAGGGGCGCTGCTGTTTGTTACCTTCATGCTTAGATTGCATGAAGGTAACAAACCTTGAGCCATTACAACCATTTTAATTTAACCTCTTCACGCTGGTCACACACAAATGTGCGGCCTCACGGCGTCTGGGCCTAGACGCAGAGCGGCTGCACATTCGCGTTCTATTAAAAAAGGACATAGGTGCCGAGAGCGTGCGCCCTGCAGGCTCCCAGCACACCTGTCCGGTACTCACGGATGGGTCCCGATCTCCTCTTTCGATCGGGACCTTTTCCGATCATGTGATGGCCCAGCACGGCAATCACATGACCCTGAACCCCGCCCCGCCTCCCGGTTTCTGGAACACTTAAAGGGCCGGGAGGCGCCAGCGGGAAGGGGTTAAGTTTGGTGAAGCAAGCAACATGAATTCGGAGGATGCTCTGACCGTGGGCTGTGAAGCTTGGATTTGTGAATCAAAGTTCAATACTTCTAATAGCCAACCTAATCTAAGCTTGGATGTGGGCTTGTGAAACTCACCCCTTTGTCTGACTGTTTATAGATCCCGTACGAAACTTTATCTGAATATGTTACTGGTGCATCTTTCTAGGAATTACCCTCTGAAAACGTGCATTGTACTCAAACATCTGGGCAGAGATGACGTTATTTGTGATGGAACAAGCAGTGCATCGCCACCATGCAAGAGACTCTGCCCGAGTGCACAGGTAAAGAATGGCTTTGAGGGCGGCATAGCTGGTCCAGTATGGCTCTTTGCATTTGAATGGACTCCCGTGCCCGTGACACGCAGGGAAAGAAGTCCCGGCACTTCTTTGGAAAACGCAGCCCGCGCGGGGACCTCGGGTCTCAGTACGGTTGCGTTTTCCAGTGCGGGCGGCGTGCCATTAGAATTGATGGCACCCGCCCGCATTTCTCTGTGCGGGTGGTGCAGCTGCATGGATTTTCGTGCGGATCCGCAGCGGCACCACCTGCACAGATGTGAACCTAGGGTCAAAGACAATTGGTTTCTATGCAGAGCTGCACCAGATTTTGCACTCCAGTTTGAGTAAATCAACCCCCCGTGTATTTAAAGGCAGATTTTAGTGCATTTTCAGGTCACATTTGTATGTAAATGAGTACAAAAGTAAAATTGTGTTTTGTTTTTTTTTTTTTTTTTTCTTGTGCACTGTGTCCTATAGTTTTATGTTTTAGTACAGTATATTTACATTGCAATTACATTTTATATATGGATTTGAATGGCAGACAACCATAGCTAGGCTTTTTTATTTCAGCAAAGGCCATAGGAGTGCTGGAAGCATCCAGTTGGTGAGGCTATTATTATTATTATTATACAGGATTTAAATGGCGCCAACAGTTTGCTCAGCGCTTTACAATATAACGGGAGACAATACAGCAACAATACAGTTCAATACAGGAGGGATAGGAGGGCCTTGATCCTGGGAGCTTACAATCTAGGAATTGACCAACCAGATTTGTAAACATTAGCCAGACTCCTAACTACTCAGCTGTACAGTATATACTAATGTCATTTGTTTTTCTCCTGACAATTTTATTTTTTAATTTTTTGTTTTAGTTTCCTGACCATTTTAATAATCGCCTTCGCTATTGCAGTGCCTTGTTTGTACTTGTTGCCATTTTGTAGCTGTGTTGAAGACTTAAAGCCCAACTCCACTTTTCTGATAATAATTCAGTATTTGTAAATCCATCCATAGACAAGAGATGGGTCTCCCTGATGCTGATGGCTGGTCATTGTCATGGGCTGCAATTGGTCGGGTAGGTTGCTGTGATCTGAGAGGGTCAGAATAGGAGGGTGTCTGCTTGCAGGCTCCTCTCTCCTCTCTATTCACATAAACTTGCTAAGTGCATCAGATCTTGCTAGTTTTTAGAGCAGCGTTTTTTCAACCACTGTGCCGCGGCACACTAGTGTGCCGTGAGATATTGTCTGGTGTGCCGTGGGAAAAATTCCAATTTCATCTGTAACATGTGGCTTCGGCTCACAAATAGACCAATCATTAGAATCTAATGATTCAGTGGTCGGCAAGCCGCGGCTCGCGAGCCACATGCGGCTCTTTACCCAGTCTAATGCGGCTCTTCTGTGTGCCGGGCGCCTGCTCCCCTCCCTCCTCCTCTCGGTCGGCCGCTCCCCTGCCTCCTCTCGGTTGGCAGCCCCAAAAGTCCGCGCGGACCTTTTAATCCGGCTTGCGGATGTGGCTGTCAGGATGTGTGTAGGCGGGGCAGCGTGCCGAACGTGAGGGGAGGGGAGCTAGGCTCCTCTCACAGTCCGCCCTGAAGACCCGAACGGCGCGGGAAGACAGCGAGAGGAACGCAAAAGGTAAGTGAATTGACACGGGGGACTTGGCTTACTAGAAGGGGGGGGGGGGGGAATAGTACTGTGGGGGATGAAATACTATATGAGGGATGAATTACTTTATGAGGGATGAAATACTATATGGGGGGATGAAATACTATATGGGGGATGAATTACTATATCAGGGATGAATTACTATATGAGGGATGAAATACTATATGGGGGGGATGAAATACTATATGGGGGGATGAAATACTATATGGGGGGATGAATTACTATATGAGGGATGAAATACTATATGGGGGGATGAAATACTATATGAGGGATGAAATACTATATGGGGGATGAATTACTATATGAGGGATGAATTACTGTATGAGGGATGAAATACTATATGGGGGGATGAAATACTATATGAGGGATGAAATACTATATGAGGGGATGAAATACTATATGGGGGGATGAAATACTATATGGGGGATGAAATACTATATGAGGGATGAAATACTATATGAGGGATGAAATACTATATGAGGGATGAATTACTATATGAGGGATGAAATACTATATGGGGGGATGAAATACTATATGGGGGGATGAAATACTATATGGGGGGATGAAATACTATATGAGGGATGAATTACTATGGGGGATGAATTACTATATGGAGGATGAATTACTATATGGGGGATTAATTACTATGCTTACTATGGGGGAATATTACTATACTTACTATGGATGACACATACACATCATTCATCTACTCTTGGTCCGGCCCCCGGGTCCAATTATAAAATACTTTATTATTTCATAATAAAGTAATTATAAAATAATTTCTTTGTGTTTGATTCCTATTCAAGAGAATTACTTTATATATAGTCAATATAGGCACAGAGGTAAATTTTTTTAACATTTTCTAATGGTGGTGTGCCTCGTGATTTTTTTCATGAAAAAAGTGTGCCTTTGCACAAAAAAGGTTGAAAAACACTGTTTTAGAGCATTCTGACCCGAGTCTGAATGGATTATACCTGTATGTTCAAAAAAAAACTGTCCCTACACTGCTCTACAAGAACCCTATAGATGAGCGCTGCTAACACTGCTTTGTGTTTCCCACAAATACACTATATTGCCAAAAGTATTGGCCCCGCCCTCCAAATCATGTGATTCAGGTGTTCCAATCCCCTCCATGGACACAGGTGTATACAATCATCCCCTAGGCATGCAGACGGCTTCTACAAACATTGGTGAAAGAATGGGTCGCTCTCAGGAGCTCAGTGACTCCAAGCGTGGTCCCGTGATAGGTGGCCACCTGGGCAATAAGTCCATCCGTGACATTTTCTGGCTACTAAATATTCCACACTCAACTGTTAGTGGGATTATAACAAAGTGGAAGCAACTGGGAACAACAGCAACTCAGCCACCAAGTGGTAGGCCACGTCACATGACAGGGCAGGGTCAGCGCATGCTGAAGTGCACAGTGCGCAGAAGTCACAAAATGTCTGCAGAGTCAATAGCTAAAGACCTCCAAACTTGGTGTGGCCTTCAGATGAGCCCAACAACAGTGCGTAGAGAGCTTCATGGAATGGGTTTCCATGGCCAAGCAGCTGCATCCAAGCCTTACATCACCAAGTACAATGCAAAGCGTCGGATGTCGTGGTGTAAAGCACGCCGCCACTGGACTCTAGAGCAGGGGAGATGTTTTCTCTGGAGTGACCAATCACGCTTCTCTGTCTGGCAATCTGATGGCCGTGTCTGGCTTTGGTGGTTGCCAGGAGAACGGTACTTATCTGACTGCATTGTGCCAAGTGTAAAGTTTGGTGGACGGGGATTATGGTGGACGCAGTCGCTGTTCAGCCTAATAATTTTTTCCCCAGTCTATTCGATTTTATCACCATAGTATAGGGCAGTGGTCTCCAAACTGCAGCCCTGGGCCTGGATGTGGCCCTTTGCTTGCTTTTATCTGGCCGTTTAAAGCATAATTCCTGCCACTGACACCAACAACAGGGCACCAATTTTTCCACTGACACCAACAGGGCACCATTTCTTCCACTGACGCCAACAGGGCGCCATTTCTTCCACTGACGCCAACAGGGCGCCATTTCTTCCACTGACGCCAACAGGGGCGCCACTTCTTCCACTGACGCCAACAGGGCGCCATTTCTTCCACTGACGCCAACAGGGCGCCATTTCTTCCACTGACGCCAACAGGGCGCCATTTCTTCCACTGACGCCAACAGGGCGCCATTTCTTCCACTGACGCCAACAGGGCGCCATTTCTTCCACTGACGCCAACAGGGCGCCATTTCTTCCACTGACGCCAACAGGGCGCCATTTCTTCCACTGACGCCAACAGGGCGCCATTTCTTCCACTGACGCCAACAGGGCGCCATTTCTTCCACTGACGCCAACAGGGCGCCATTTCTTCCACTGACGCCAACAGGGCGCCATTTCTTCCACTGACGCCAACAGGGCGCCATTTCTTCCACTGACGCCAACAGGGCGCCATTTCTTCCACTGACGCCAACAGGGCGCCATTTCTTGACACCAAGGATGGGCCACTGACGCCAAGGATGGGGCATAATTACTTTTACTGACAACAAAAACGATGCACTATTCCTTCCAACAGCATCTATTTCTCCCCAAAGACCGGCATTGTTTACTCCCACTGGGCACAGTCCAGCCCCCCCCTAAACTTTAAAGAACAGTATACTGGCCCTTTCTTTAGAAAGTTTGGAGACCCCTGGTATAGGGCCACCCATGACCTGAATTTTGGGCAGTTCACAACTCTTGTGTATGGCCAGTTTAAGGGACACCATATGCAGTGTGTTCCGTTCCCATCAGGAAGGTGGGGCTGGGCTAAAATATTAAAAAAAATGTCCCAAATACTGTGCTTCTGACTCGGGTCACCAACTGCAGAATGTGCTTTTTGTGTTTGATAGCTTTTTCCTGATTTTTTTTTTTTTTTTTTTTTTTCATTTGGTGATAAGTCTGCTCAATGCATTTGTCTGTCTGGGTCTTTAACAGGAAAACAAGCAAGAGAAACAAAAAAGATGTCATCCCGAGGTATTTGTCTGTACCTGCAAGACACTGTGTGTACTGACCGTTTCCAGAGTCTGACTAACCGCACGGCGGCTCTGTCTGTCCTAGTCACTGGGTGTGCTATTAACCCTGCCATGTCTTGTGTAGGCGTAGATCAACACTCACTGTTAACATTAACTCCATTTCACAGGGATGTCTAAAAGGTGATTATTTAAAGTAGGGGGTGTCAAACAGAACGTCATCATGGGCCGAAACAGCAACGAGGGCCGGTTGTATCTGTAAGACTAGATGTTAAGAGCATTCCACCCCACCCTTTACGTTAAGCCTTGTGTCAGAGAGCGTTTGGGAAGCCCCCCACGC